GGGGACGCCCGGAGGAGCCCCGGTTCCAGCGGGACCGGGAGGGCACCGGCCCTCACGGCTGAAGGCACAAAGCCTCTCGCCAGCCCCGGAGCATCCGAGAGGAGATGGACTGAAGCAGAATGCGTGAGACCTGTCCTGGGGACCCCCAGGGACACCAGGGCAGGGGACAGAGGGCAGGTAAGGGGGGCGCGGGGCTGCACACCGGGGCTGGCTCAGCCCCCGAAGGCCTTGGCTGGAGGGTGCTGAGGGCAGCAAGGGGGTCACAGTCCTCGAAGCAGGTGGGGAGGGGGCTGCAGGAGCTGTTCAGCCCTCCCTGGAGGCAAAGGGGAGCCATGTAAACGCCGGGGCTGCTCCTCGGCACCCAGCCTGGCTTTGGGCTCCACACGGGCTAAAGGCAGGATCCCCACAAGCAGCAGCTGCCCGAGCTCTGCCTGTCCCTGCCCTGCTCTCCTCATCCCTGGGCCTGAAGAGAGGGAGAGGATGGGGAAAGGGACGGGACAAAAGGATGAGACAGCCTGGGGAAAGCACCAGCCCCATCCTCATCCCACTGGAGCAAGCCCCAGGAGGAAGAGGGGGATGACGTTCTTGGCAGAGCATGGGGGTCCCCTGGGCACACGGGGGTGGCAGGGGACCCTCCCACACCCTAAAGGAGCACAAGTGTCATCACCAGGTGGGGAAACAGGAGAGCACAAGGAAGGCAAGTGACCGTTCCAGTCCCTGGAAGCAGCATTGCAGCCATCTGGGGAGGCTCCTGCCCCCAGCAGCTGGTGCTGGAAGGGAGGACGACGGCTCAGGGCTCCCCACCCTGCTCCCCCCAATCTGCTGAGGGGAGGGGACCAGCACAAACCACAACAGCCTCTGTCCGTGAGGAAAAAGGGGGTTAAGAGCAGCAGATGATTCAGGCACCAGCACTTCCAAGCTGGGATGAGGCAGCCTCTGAGAGCCGATGGGGGATCCAGTGAAAGTGCGACTCGGGTTTCCTCTTCCTCTTGGCCTTCCTCTTCCTCGGGAGGAGCCCCGGGGCGCCGGGAGGGNGTTGGGTAGAGGGGCACGGGGCTGTCCATGGAGCCATTGTAGGTGATGCTGTGGAGGCAAAGCAGAAAAGCCACTCTGGGTGGGACAAGCCCAGCCTGGGGGCACACAGACCCCCTGTTCTCGAAGCCTTGCTCCCTTGGTACCTCTGTGCATCCGTCTCGGAGCTGCAGGTGTACTCAGGGGGGTAGTAGGGGGGAGGTGGCACTGGGGGCACAAACTCCTCGAAGTCCATCATGCTCTGCAGGAAGGTGTCAGGTGGGGACGTGCATTCCAATGTCACAGAGCTCGAGCGCTGTGGGACCAGCTGCAGGGAGAGAAGGGAGAGCTGGGACCTCCTGGGCTGAGATCCAGCAAGGGATGTGCATCCTGGGCTTTATTCTGCACCTGGCTGGGTCCAGGTCCTGCCCTGGCACCCCAGGGACCACCCCAGCCTGGGACTCACCACGTGAACGATGTCAAGGGAGAAGATCTGGATGCAGCACACGACAGCAGAGAGCATGCAGATGATGGTGGAGAAGATGGTCAAGCCACAGACACTGAAGAGGAGATCCTGGGGAGCAGTGGGGTGAGCTGCAGAGCCCGCAGAGCCATGGCCGGGGCTGCGGCCGCTTCCCAGGGAGCCCTTGCATCCCCCAGCTCCTCCACCTTGAGCGCCACACGGATGCTCCGGCAGTTGGCGTTGGGGAACATGGTGAGCTGCTCGCTCTGCTGGCTGCAGGAGGCGGGCGGGGGCTCCGAGCGGGCCTGGCAGCAGACACACGTGTCCCTCTCCTGGCGACAAGAAACACTGCGAGGAAGCTCTGGATGCCGTGTAATCTCCCTGAGAGCCACCAGCGCATCCCCACCAGCTCTGCAGAGCCCCCCACAAGCCAGGCATGAGCCCGGGGGTCCCTGCTCAGCCTCACCCTCTCGCAGGCCTCCAGGCTCTTCACCAGCTGCGCGTTCTGGCACGACAGGATGGAGCCGGCGAGGCTCAGCATGACGCCCAGCACCGAGAGCAGCGTGAAGAAGGCGATCTGCAGCGGGAGGAGAGGGGCTGCCGGCGGCGCAGGGAGCCGGCGGAGCACCCGGGGGCACGGGGGGGGGATGCTCGGTCTGGGCTGCCCCGCCTGCGGAAGGGTGTCCCCCCAACACCTACCACCAGGGTGAGCGGCCGCTTCCAGGAGACGATGCCGACCAGCCCGGACAGTGCCAGCTGCAGGTGCACAAGGCCCGGGGTGAGCACAGGGAGAAGGCTCTGATAGGCACAGGGGCCAGAGCAGCTCCTGCCCATGGGCAGAGCCCCCTGGTTCCCACAGGCCTGGAGCCAGCCCGGGAGCAGTGGGGCTGTAGGAGCAGCCCTGGCGCCACGAGATGGGAGA